GTGGGGAGGAGACTGCGCTGAGCGGGGCGCCCGGGGCGCGAGCCTTCAGTCCTCCGTGCCGGGGGCAGGGGGCGGCGAAGGAGGCCCCTCTCGGGGAACACGAGCTCCGAAAGGCGGGTTACCAGGAGGATGGGTTCACTCGAAACTTTCGGACAAACCCAGGGCCTCTTCTGCCTCCTACCCACCCCCTGCCCAGAAAGGGGGCGCCACGAGGGCGCGTGGCTGCGCTCGCCCAGCTACCTGCCTCGCCTCCTCCTGCGGGCCTCCTGGGTTTCCCTCCGCCCCCTTGTGGGGATCCCCCTGCACGCCAGTCTCCGGACCTGGACCAGGGCTCCCCAGATGCTCTTGGCTCGCTGGGGGTGTCCTGGCTCCCCCCTCTGGCGCGGGCTCGCACTTCACTCCTTGATTGTGCTGGACAAAGTCTGATGCCGTGGCCCAGGGAAGCGGGGCATCTGGCACTGTCCCTGCGTGAGGCGGCCTGGGCGCCCGTCGCCAACCTTGGGTGGAGGCTCCTGAGCTTCAGGCTTTGCGCAGGGAGCATCGGCGGGCCCCTACCTCTGAGGTCAGGGCCCTAGGACCCCCAGTCCCTTGTCTCCAAGGTGTTGGCTGTCCTAGGGCCTGGCTGGGTCCATAGCCCTGCAGAAGCCGTGCGTTTAGAGAGGACACCTAGTGGTGTGAGGCACACCCAAGCCCCCTCCTCGGGTCGCTTTGCTTCTTCCTGGTGCCTCCCTGGGGCTGCTGGCTAGGAGGGCAGATGGATGCATTTGCGGTGAAGCTGAAAACTGAAGGGCATGTTCATAAGAGCATCACCTGGAAACCAGGTGTCCGTGTCCACGGAATCCAATCCTATCATGATACCTCTGCAGATGTCCAGGGAAGTGAGGAGGGAGGGAACCTCTGTACAGGTTTCTCCACTCCTCTGGGAGGACCCCCGTGTCCAAGTGTCTTCCCACCTGTAGTGACCTCCTAGCCCACGGTCTCCCAGATGTCCCCCAACAGCATCTGGGGACATGGGTGTGGCTTCCTTTCCAGGGAGAGGCCATTTCACCCAACAAGATGGGAAGACTTTTGCTTCATGGACCTTTCATTTGTTTCCTCCTGTGCTCAGCTTGACATCCTGCCAGACACACAGAGCACCTTTCCTGCAATGCTCTACAATGTGGATTTCCCTTTGCTTTGATTACCAGGTCCAGAGGAGGGTTTAAAGATATGTAAGTACATCCAGGCTGGAGTGTGTGTGGGAAATTCTCCAGTCGCCTTACCTTCATCAAACACGTGGAGACACCGAAATAAAAGTTTAGGAGCTCAGAACACTCCCTTTCATTCAACTGACCAGGAAATACACTCACTTCGCTTTTTCTAGTGTACGTAGGGAAAATAAAAGTGAGAGAGGGAATCTGGAACTAATTGGGTTAGAGAACGAACACTAGCTCAGGGGAAAACTGCCACAGGCACTAGGGGTTGTGTAATCTGGGGATGAGTTAGGAAGGGAGCAGGAAGGGGAAGGGCAAGAAAGCAAGAACTGGCAATTCCCTGGAAATTCTCTCAGCACCTGCAGTGAGTGCAAGGAAAAAAGAGGAAGGGGGTAAGGGAGGGAGGAGGGGGAAGAGAGAGAGAGAGCTCCTTGGCACATAGAAATGACTTTTTTAGTTAATATTGACAGATTTCAGAGCAAAGGGGTGCGCCGAAGTACTACAGAGACAAAGACCCCAGAGGAGCCCACCACTACCCAAGGAAGGGAACTGGGGGCTTCTGGTCCGCAGTCTGGCAGCACCGTGGCCGTGGAGCCCTGACCCCACGCTGCCAGGGCGTGGGAAGAGGGAAGAGGGAAGCTCCTTCCTGCTCAGGAAGTTCCTCCTGGCCCCCGCCTCCAACAGGTACTCTCGGCGGGCAGCCAGCCCTCAACTCGCCCACTGGAGGGCAAGGGGGACAGACCCCAGTTGGCGCCTTTGCCAAGGGAAACAGTTCTTTGCGTCCCATCTTCCCCAGGAAGCTCCCCTAGGAAACTGAGTTTTGTTAGAAACAGGACCTGAAACAACTAATGTTCTATTTATCTGTCACCATCAGGATGCTCGTCAATCCTAAGGTAGCCTTTGCCTTTTATTTTTTTTATCTGTTTGGTGTTACATTTTGTTCAGGGTGTCTTAGGGAGAGAATTCCACGCCCTGATACGTTAAT